GGTGTGAATCCGGCAGCTGCTTGTGGACAGTGCGAGATACACAAAGTACCACAAACAACAACCAGCCTCTCAGTATAAACATACACGACAATAATCTCAAATTATGACGATATACTATCACACCTACACAGGATACACGAGATACCAAAGTCAAGATGAACGTACATCTCATATTATCATTTATGTTTTAGATGCGTTTTACATTTCCTCAGATTAGCCAGAATAAAACATCAAATGTGTCGTGATGTCTTAAAGTTTTTAGTTGTGATCCGGTTCCTTTTCCTTTGCTGTTTTGCAGACTAGACTCTGCAAAACATAACATTTTATTTTACAAATTGGGATATACTTCATATTATCAACCTGGTTTCCTTTACATTTGCATTTAAACGCAGCAGGGATAGTTCAGGGAGTAAGTTTCTTTCTGTGAGCATCTGAACCAAAAACCTGGAGTCGCAGCTTAAACATTCGGAGAATGCTTAGAAGTACCAGGTGTAAACGGAAACTACAGTAGATTATCCTGGTACAGAACACAGGTTAATACCAGGTGGAAACATTTAGCCTGTTGTGTTTAAATTTGGAGATGTTACAGCTTCATTAACTAATATTTTCCCCACAGTCTGACATTGAGGGTTAAAAGCAGCGAGGACTGGACTCATATGTGATGTTCTTCCTTCCAGATGTGTTAGCATCTAAAGCTAACCTGTTTTGGCCACAGTAAAACAAGAAGAAGACGAGCAGCAAGGACAAATTTTTGGTGTGAGTTTGTTTTGAGCCCCACTAGTCTCACTAGTGTCCGATAAGACATTCGACAAAGTGCCTTTAAACATGAGCTCCACTTAGATCTGCAGAAACATGCAAAACAAAAACTTTTAGATGAAGCCAGTGTCCAGCCACAGTAATCGCTGGAGTTACACATCAACATTTGAAATGTTTAGGGCCTCATATCACCGTGCTGCATTAAATATTTGACACTGGATATAAAAACACTGATATGAATAAATAAGACTCTCACTGAAGTCCGTACACAGTGTTTAGCCTGCATGAAGGTGGTGACATTCTTCTCTGCAATAAACCCCAAAAACCGTCTCATAGAATCAAACCGCCGACTGTCAGCTACTTCACAATGTTCTCTGAGGCATTCAGAGCCTCATGCTTTGACTGAAAGTCTTTTGACTCATGCTTTTAACCACCAGCTACAGAGCGTTGCCTCTCAGTTCTTAAATAGTCGCTACCCAGAAACCTGCTGCATGTGGAACTAGTGACACCGTCGTCCTTTTGTTGGCTGTAAACTTTTGGAGGATGCTTGTCAAACTGGCCTCTGAGCTTTTCTACACTGTAGTTATCCTCATGGACTGTAGACACCAGGAGCTCATATCTCACAAGTTTACCTTAGAGCACGTTAACATTCACCCTGACTTTTGTTCGTCAACACCGTATTAAATGCCTCCATCCAGCCACTTGAGTAAAACCAAGGCACCCCTGTCATTGTAAAGCGTGTAAGCCCTCTATTGATTGACAGAGCAGACTCTTCAGTATCTGGAAGCTCTGAAAAGCTAAAGCTACTTTGTGGACAAGTCTTCACAAGACTGGACCTAAGCCACCCTGTAGAACATGGTTTCTGTCTTCACAGTGCCAAAATCCTGTTTAAAACAACAATGTTAAAGCCATTTGTTATTATTGCCGATATCATATGAAGGTCTGAGGACTCCAAACTCTCCTGAGGACTGAAGATGCCGCTGTGACTCATGACCGTTTCTAAAATCCTTGTTTCAGCTTTTAACGTCTCAAACAGCAGAGTGATGCTACAAACGTAACAAAGTGCTTTTGATATCACCATCGCCGGTCATCAGGCCAGCTTCACACTGCAGTCAGAAGTTCCCCTCAGATATCTAGGGGCTGGCTCAATTCCTGAGAACTGACTCCAGGCCCAGTTTAAGAGAAGCTGTCCTTGTCAGAGTCAGGGGAAGGTGGCCGCGAGATTTCAAAGAAGGAGCCCGACGACTTCCTGGATTTGAGAAGTTGTAGCATCTCAGCTAACAGGCCCTCTAGCGCCGCCATGCGACTGTTCAGAGAACTGATGTCTCCTTTTAATTCTTGCTTCAGCTCAAGGAAAGAAGCTTGCATGCTCTGCTCCGGTATTGGACAGAAGACCCTCCTCTCATCAGACTGGACTGGACTCCTCTCCTGTGGCGTTCTAGCCTCACCAACATTGTCTAAACGCAGGTCGCTCTTTGTGATGCCACTGTCGCAGGAGTCAGTCTTCTTGAGGGATGTTTCGTCCTGAGACTTAGTTCTATCAGGCAGCGTCTCCATGGACTCAGCCTTGGAGACGCTGCTCCATGACTCAGCTTTCACAACTGAGTCCTTGAATCGTCCCCAGCCTTTACCTTTGGGCGGCTCAGCAGATTTACAGCTGGTCAGATTGCCATTTTCGGTGGCGGGAGCATGCAGAATGACTCGGCTGGAGGTCCTGACAGAAGTGGATGTGGTGGGTGTGGCTGGGTTCTCGGCTATCATGACAATACTGGTGGAGGCCAGGACCTCGGGGCCTCTGGGTGGCTCCATGTAAACGACACCTTTCTCCACGTCAACAGCTGCCTGACTGAGGCGCTCAGCGGCGAGTCGGGCCTCCCTCTGCTGTCGGAAACGCTGAAAAAGTCGTCGGACTGGGTGGTCAGGAGGTAGGTTCAGAGGAGCCTCATTCTTTCTCTTCAGCATCTCCTCCTCCTCACGTTTCACATCACTGATCTTTCGGAAGATGATCTGTTAAAGGAAACCAAGAAAACAATCAGAAACACAGTGTCTGCATATGCTTTTATTCGTCATTAAAAACCAGAGAAAAACCTTTTCCGATCTTAAAGAGATTAAAAATCAAATTTTTACTCTGATTTGTGATTCGTATTGGACAAAAGCATATTACACTGAAAGCATAGTGTGTGTGTGGTGTGTCACCTCTCACACGACACTCATGTTCGTGTCTCTACCGGGCACGTGTTTGCTTGCACTTTGGAAGCGAGGCACCCAACGAGCACTGAAAACAACACTTTTTTGTTTTGTGCAAATTGAATGATGGCACCCATGGTAAGACACTTTAAAGCCCCCATGGCTGCTCATTTTGCTCATTCAGCCATTTAATGTTTAGTCTTGGGTACCTCTAGATTATCTTTGCACCCACCCATCATAACTCCAAATAGTCTGTAATTATTTCAGAATGATAAAACCAGAGAGCCTCTTCCTAAAAACGAGAGGACAGTTCATGAACACACACAACTCCTGTTGACCAGGACGTTTCACACGTAGTGGACGAAGCTTCTGATCAGGCCAAACTGGGAGGAACATATCGTAACCAGCGGTTTGGGAGGAAACTGGGCCATTTGACCATCACACACACCACCTGGTTGTTATTGTTGTGTGCGTGTGGCGGTTTAGGAGCTCGGCGGTGTTCACACCAGAGCCGGGTACACGGCACTGCCACACACGTACGGGAAGCAGCAACACATTGATCAAAGCTGAGCGTTAAGGTCTGAGACGCAGCCTATTTTAAAATGTTTTCTGTTACGAAACTCTTTATTCATTTGTATAAAACTGCGTTATGAACTAGAACAGCCAGATTCTTCCTCCACTCACTCAGTTTTCACTCAGATAGTCTTGGACATGTGGACCTCAGTTACAGCAGTGACTGAGAAACAAGAAAAACATTTGTAATGTCCCTGCAGCAAGTTTCAAGTCGGTGCAAGTTGATTGTCATAAAAATGAAGTGAAAACAGTGTCTGCCTGTAGAGAGGTTTCAGACAGAGCTCAACTGGACTGTGAAATGAGCAGGACTGTATAATGTACAGATGATCCAAAGCATATGAAACAGTGGTGAGCTGTTCCAGGTGTGTCAGTCCAGGTGTGTTAACATGCTCCAGGCTGCTTCTGTTGCAGGGGACCTGAAGGTTATAATATGTCTGAGCTCGCTGCACATCCACGTGTTAAGAGTGTCAGACAGCCCACTTTAACATATATTAATGGTGTCGAGGGACTGCTGCTGAGCCTGCTGACTGTCTGCGAGCATCTTGTTTCTGCAGCGACAGCACATGGCGGTGAGGCTTTCCCTCATCGATGCCATCAGCATGTTGCACCCGAATCAATGAGCTCCTGACCTGCTGAAATTGGATCGTGTGGGCCGATCAGAGAAGTGTCCGAGGTGATGAGAACACAGGAACGCAGAACGTGAGAGAACTGCTAATGTTCAGCTACTGTTCCTTCTGATACCACACAATAAATCAGACTGCTGCTCCCACACATACAGCAGGCTGAGGCTGGCCTCTGTGCTGAACAACACATAAAGCCCACAGTCTGCAGGGACCCTCGGGCCTTTACAGGACTCTATTATTACAACCATAAACCTGCACTAACTGGGCTTTCTGGCCATTTGTTTTCAGCAGAAAGACGTTTTTAACACAGCACTGATGTGATGGACCGGGGAACAAACAGTAGCTTATTTCCACATTCAGCACTTACAGATGATCCTTCATGTGCTGCGGAGCTTGGTCTGACAGTGTATGTTGTCAATAACAGTTCTCAGAAAGAAAGAAAATCTGAATTGGCAGGTCAGACTAAAAAAAAAAAGGAAATTGGAATTGTCCAAGAAAATTGGTGCATCTAGCAAAAGCCAGGGTTTGTCTTTTTGACACGGACAGCATTAACTGCAGCTTTAGGAAATCAAACTAGCAGCAGCATGAGATCCAAATCAGCCTGCTCGAGGTTCAGCAAGGTCAGTGTTCAATAACAACAGATAGGCAGGTCGACACAAGATGATATGAGCATGTTGCACACTAGCTTGTCTGCCGTTTTAAATATCGCAGGAAGGGAGACACACACAGAAACAGCCACTGTGAGCTGAAAGACCAGCAGGCGACAGAGTCAGCACTCAAAAAGGTAAACAAAGCCTCTCACCGGGTCGTGCTGTGAAAAAGCCCTCCCACCACACCGGCGTGGCCTGAATGGACATGGCTGCTGGATGGACCATTAGAGTTTAACCAGTAGTGAGCCAAAGGTCGTCCTGAGGTTGGGGCCAGGGGAGGGATTGTCTTGATACTACTGCACAGGCACTTTCTAGAACATTCCTGAAGACAAAGCGAGGAAGAGTGCAGTCAACTCAGACTGATCCCTGCACATGAACTGTCTTACATGTTGTGAGGTCAGCTGCTGTTCAGTGCGCTGTGATGTCGATGTCAGCCGTGCAACAGAGTGCAGGATGTCGACAAGGGCGTGGAGGTGAGAGCTGCCGCGGCGGGTTGTCTCTCTCCACTAGTGTCATTATTGCACAGCCAAGCAGAACAGGACACGATGGCTCTGACAGTGATTTCCAGTAGAGAGACGAGGCGGCTGTGCCAGGAGAGAGCGAGCAGCTTATGGCTTCCATCACTTTATTTTGTCCACATTTAAACTTTGTAAAGAAACAGTGAGTCTGGGGTTTAATACTAGTTTTAAGAACAACAGTTTCCTTATGAACTCTGAGACAAACGTCTGTCTAAAGGGTTTTTCGTGCTTTGTGCATCTGCATGTTTGCTATGATCAGGTCCGTAACGTCCTCACAGACCTGGGAGGATGATGAAAATATTCCACTTGCAAAACGGCAACAATTAGCGTCCCCAGCTCCCAGATGATTAAAAAGTGTAATTGCAAGGAAAGGTGATGTAACACAGTGATAAACATGGCCTCTGTCGAGTGTCGCAGGCATCTGATTCTAAATTTGCAGTTAAGTTGGTCAGTGAAAACACTGAAAACCTTTTCTTTGTACTTTTGTCAGTTAGAGGTTCAAGATGATTAACAAATCACACATTGTAGTTTTTGTTGAAAAATGTCCTAAATGTCTGGAGATGGGGTTTGTAATTTGTCCATATCTAATACTGCACAGTTTACGAATGAGCAAACAAAAATGTTAGTGGTGATTCAAGATGCCACAGGCGACCGAGGAAGACCTCCGTATATCTGTACATGGTAGTCGGATGTATGTGCAGCTGCAACGTAGTGTGTCCGAAGTATTATAAAGAAAAAAAGAAGTGAGTGTTGTCTGAAAGCAGATGTGAGGCCTCTGACCAGGTGTTTTATAAAAAAACTGGAAACTACTTCAGGTTCTGTGGTTTTAAAGCAACTCTTAGTTTCACTTCATCTCAGTCGAGTCATATTTATCCTTAATTTCACCTCATGGAACCAGTTAGAGGTCGATAAGTGATGAGGAATCCTGCTGGACTCTCTGGGCGAGGACATTCTGTTGTCAGAGGGATGGACGTCCAAACGAATTTACTGTTTAACTCATGGTTTTTGTTTTCTGTGTTATGAAACAAAACAAAATCTGAATATGAATAAAACTGATCTTCACACACCGAAGCCTGGTCAGGTCAGTCTATAGTATTGTACTAGGTCAAAGTATTTCCTCCACCTACAGCTACTTTAGTTTTTCTGTGATATTCAACATTTATTCTTGATTTAAATGAGAAGAAAAATAAGTTTATTTAATTTTTACTGTATTTTATTCCAGCCGGATGCCAAAGGCTTTCTATTGTTCCATACATGTTACCTGGTCTTGAATGAGAAGGTGAAAGAACATAATTCATAAAGTCAGAGGTCAAAAAGTGACTCCATGTCTGTCTGACGTGAACGGGTCTGGACATGTACCTCTGGCCCAGTGGATGGATTTCTAATTAAAGCTGTAAGTCAGTGTGCTGAGTGTTGGTTCAATCAATAGAACATCTTATTAAATCAATCTTTCAGGCCTCAAGGACTCATTAACTCCTGAAAATGACAATCAGAGACATTAGAACCTCATTAACTCCTGAAAATGACAATCAGAAAGACGAAGATGAGCAGCAGAGACATTAGAACAGGCTGAGGGGTGCTTTACTAACCTCTGATTTACACCTTTACCCAGTCCAACACATTTGTTACCTTAGCTAAATTAGCATTAGGCTAACAGGACCCGTCTCAGCAGGGGCTACGCCAACACCCAGGTGTAGTAGCCAAACCGCACCGCCACAACCTCCACATTCATCACAGGACACACACAGTCCCAAAAAGCATTTTCCCATTGAGATTTGTCAGAAAAGGAGCAGCTGTAAAACGCCAAATACATTTTGGTGACACAACCCCCACGAAATGACTCTTTACAGTGGGGCAAATAAGTATTTGATACACCGCAGAAAATCACATTGTATGATTTTTAAATAATTTATTTCCATTTTATTGCATGAAATAAGTATTTGATACAATAGAAAAATAGAACTTAATATTTGGTACCGAAACCTTTGTTTACAATTACAGAGGTCAGAC